GGCAGGTGCGCCTCAGCAACGAGCTCTCAAAGCTTTGTCTCGCTCGGATTTTTTCCCCAGAGACATCAGAGGCGGTAGGTACATCATGCTTGAAACAGCGCCATCGCAATGACATGTCGACTTGCCGTCGAGCCCGCTTCGAGCCCATTCAGAGCCGCCCGCTCGATCGAGGCACAATACAGCAGGACATGATGTGATTGCAGTTCAAATGGTGCTGGTCAAGTGTCAGTCCAATTCAAGGAACGTGAAAGAAAAGCAAGCGAAAAGTATGCATCGTACACTGCTAAGTGACGACCTCTGGAAGAGTGGCTGCTTGCCCGCTCAGCACAGAGGTGTCGTTGATGGATGGACGGGGACATGATGGAGCAAGGATGAGGGAATTCAAGAAGCAGCAGCAGCAGGCACCTGACCTCGAAGAATGAGCTCCGTCATTCTTCTCTGTTCCTCTATCCTTTTCTTCAGCGCCTCCACCTTCATCTGACCCTCTGCTTTCAGCTCCTCGATAGCCGCCTGCATCTGCCTATTGAGCCACTCATCCACCGTCAGATTCTCATCCTCCGGCATCAAAGTCGGCAATTGCTCCAGCTTCTTGAGCGCTGTTCGCCAGGTATTAGACTGCACGTCCAAACCCATCTGCTTACTCTGTTCATTCTGCCTGCTCAAGCTGGCAAAAGGTGATCTTCTCGGTATCGACGCGAATTTCCGATCCGATGCTTGCAGCTCGCCAGTCTCCAAACGCGCAGCCTCTGCCTTGGAAGCGGACCGCTGAGAGCTCTTCATCGCTCGTGGTGTGTGTTCCTGCTCAGCTTGCGCTTTGGATCTAAGGGAACTAACAGATCGTTGAGGCTTGACAGCCTTTTTGCCAGCCTGCGCAGCGCGCTCCAGCTCCTTTTCGGTCAGACTATCAAGCGGCACAGCCTCTTCATCGTCATTATGCCTTTCGCGGCACGGCTCGTCCTTTGCAGCTTTGGTCTTCCTCCTTGTTGCGTCTGGCGAAAGGGGAACAGCGCCAGGGCCCTCGGCAGCGGCCAGCGAAGCAGCACTCTCCAGACTTCTGCGCGAAGGCTTCGTCACGCCGCTCGCGCTACGCGTGACCCTGGCCGGTGTTTCTGACGGCACATGTAACGCAGTTGCTTTGCTAGTCGTGTCGCTAGGCGTTGAGCCGCTCTTGACCTCGTCGGCACTCGCTTCTTCTGTCCCGGCGTGCGTTTTGCCTCGTGTTCGAACGCCAGGTGCGCTCGCATTCGCTCCAAATTCTGCTGCCTTGCTTGTGTGTGTGGATGCATGCTTGCTGCTCTGCTTGTCGGCATCCATGAGAGCCTCTTCACCCGCCTCCACCTTAGCTGCTTCTGTCCGTCCGCGCACACTACGTGCGAGCGAGGGAGCTTCCTTGGTCGGCTTCTGTGTCGGCTCGCGTTCTGTAGTCTCCTGCGCGTCCACTGCAACGCCCTCGCCGTCATCCTGCTCCTCCTCGTCTGCGGCGCCATGGCCACGTGCAGCCCGCGTTCCTTTCCGGCTGACAGACCTTGCCACTTTCGACTTTGCAATTGACGGAGCTGAAGGAGCTTCTGCCGCCTCAGCCACGGTCTTTTTGCGCCCCGTGCGCCTCCTGTGTGCGCGATGGAAGGGTAAATGTTGAGTCAGATCCGCGCACGGAATCTGTTCATCGCTCGACTTACCTTGGTACCTCTGAACCTGTGTCCACAGCAGACTCGACTGTGTCGGCATTCGCGATGACATCCTCCTCAACCTGATCGGAGCGCGTCGTCTTCTTGCTTGCTGCGACCTTTCGTCTGGAAGCGCTCTCTGTGGCAACATCGACTTCTAACGTATCGACAGGATGCAGGGTCGCAGTAAAGTAGGGACATTCTGGTTCTCGTCGCCGATGCTCTTCACTGTGAATGCATAGGCGTATTCGCAGCGGGCTCACATCAATCAGCAAGGGTCGTAGGAGTGTCCGCAAAGCATAACTCACATTGGATCGTCAGCCTTTTCCCAACCTCCTAGCGCCCTGTCACAGTAGATGCAGGTTGCCCGATCTGCTTCATCTTCCTCATCAGGAGCCGGTGTGAAGTGAAAGCCCGCCTTCGCTAGCTATGAGGAGAAGGCGCGACAGTTACCACATTTGCATGCGTGTCAGTCGACGCGTGCGAAGCGGCAGACACGCTACCGATCCTTTCTCATTGCTCACTTTTGCACTGGTCGGTTTCCATCCCCTCTTGCCATCGTGCGGCCAGGCATCTCCGAATGTAGCCTTTCTCGCTTCGTACATCTCGTTCGAGCTGGGCAGCAATTCTACATTCTCCTCGCTCTCCCTCCACAGCTTGTTGCCCTTGTCAGCTGCTCGCGCGCTCAGGACGATCTTCGCAAAAGGACAGTCCGCCATCATCTCCATCAACCTATCCGACGCCTCCTCTCCATCCTTCCAATCCTCCACCGCCGCTTCGCAAAAGATGTGCAAACAACGATCGGGTGAAGAGTGGGTTGGGGAAAAGTGAAAGCCGGCTGCTGCTAGTTGTGAAGGGCTTGGATATTTAGACTTGCCGGTGTGAGGCCACGTCAAGGCTGCCGAGCTCCCCGTCGCTCCTTTGCGCTTGCTCGTACCGCCAGCAGCTCGAGAACCGGCCCTTGCGGAGGCGCCTTCGTCGTCAAAGGTCGCCCGCCGAGCCTCGTGCGAGAGCATCTCCATGACGTAAGCTATTTCGGTGTCAGTGTCAGATGTGGTTCTCTGTCGCGTGAAGTGCGTGCGTGTCCTTTCGGCTTCGAGTCAGAGCTTTTGGAGTCTCGTGTTTGAAGCGCGGGGATGTGTGCGCACGCTTATTCGCAGGCTCTTTGGTGACCAGAGCTAGACGCGACAGCCGCAATCAGAGAGGTCGCTGCTGTGCTGTGTGCATGGTGCTGAGGGTCACGGTAAGCGGGCTGGTCTATCGAAGCTTGTCTGGAGCAGT